ACAACCTAAAAGATGTAACATAGGGTACGTCTAGACAGCAGGGCTATTTTGGGACACTGGAGGTATCCCGAAATAGCTAACTCACATCTTTTAAATGCGCCCATTATTTTGAATTTTTTTTTTTTTAAATAATGGGAGCGCTTTTCCGGCATCCCTGTAACTCTTGTTCCATGAGAGTTAAGGGATGTCTCGAAATAGCAGGTTATTTCAAAATTTGGCACTGTGCAGACATGCCAAATTTCGAAATAAGCTATTTCGAAATACAATTGAAATAAATTAAAATTGAAATGATTGAAATGATTTGAAGTTTAGGGTGCTGTGTAGATGCACCCATAAAGATATTCCATCCTGTTCTAAAATGATTCAAATGGAAAATGATCTACCTATTAATTGTGTCATGAACATGACTCCTTGAAAGACAAAAAAGTTCATTTCCCACTTAAAAATCAGGGTATTTATTCTGAGACCTTTTTATCTGAACATTTTGACTAAATGATTTACAGTTACCATAACATGTATTGTATCCACAATTTGCCTTTGAACAATTGTATCCACAATTTGCATAGCTGGCTTTAAGTGGACCAAAACTGAATTTGATCCTGAATCAACAAATAAAAGACTTAATCATAGAGCTCCATTATTTTTCATGTAGGTGAGACTGTGCAAAAAATTATTTTATGTAAACATAATCATAAATGATAAGATTTAGATGGGGAAAAGCACAGATTTGAGAGAGACATTTTATGAGTTCATATCTAACAAAATATATAGACAATTTAATCAAAGAGTTTTATCTGTCATCTTAATGCACCAAACAGCTTGGTTATTTTTCCTTCTGGTCACTCTATATGTTACTAATAACCTAGGATATATTTAAACCTTGGATTCATGTTCCACCTGGGCTTATTTCTTTCTCCTTATTGCCTGCTAAAAATGCAGCATGTTCCAAAACTGCAGAATGCTGTTAGCTTTCACATATTTTATTAATCCAAATCAGAGTTTAAAAGGCATTGAGGAAACATCAATCAATCAATCAATATCTCTTATAACAATCTATACACCGTGGGAAAAGTTTCTACCAGATATTTTTCATTTATCCTTCACATTCTGTCCATTTAGCTCTAAAGCAGACACATTCTAGGCAATTTTCACTTTCCATGAAGCAATTCTCCAGCACAAAATATACTGACTGTTAAAGTGAATTATTAAATACTGAAAATAATGCTGAAAATAGGAATCGACTAAACTGACTGCCAAACTATAGCAGGTGGATATCAAATTCAGATTGACAAAAAAAGCTGCACATTGAAACCCTGATCCAAAACACACTGAAGTCAATGGGAATCTTTCCACTGGCATCAGTGGTTTTTGGGTCAGGTACAGAGGCCCAACAATTGAAGTACAGGTGTAACTTTACTAACAGGAGTTGCCCCACTGACTTCAGGGGACTGGTTACACAAGCAGAGTTATGCACAACTTGACCAGGATACTCAGTATAGCACCAATAGAGTTATTGTGACCTACACTATCCAAAGACTGGTCTGTTTGCAGGATCAGATCCTTAGAGCCATAAACCAGTCAAAGCTGTGGGTACTCAGTAGTCTCAAAATTGGTAATGCTTTGGGGCCCAGGCCTTTACTCATGTGTGTAAAGTTACTTATGTGCTTAAGTCTTTGCACAATGGGACATCATTAGTCATGAACTATCAAAGAAGAGGAAACACCAGAAACTGATAATGAATCATATAGTTAATCTTCAATTTTAAGAGTGTTTGGTTAATTATTGTAATACCAAGAATAATATAAACAAAAAAAATAAACATCTGTCCATACCTATGAACATTTTCACTAGCAAAATTACTGAATTGTAAAAGAAATAAAATTCCTTTCTGTACATAAAATTAGCACCAAATTAGTAATCACCTGCAGTTCAGATAAGATTCATAGCAGATACCATTCTCTTTATTAATAAGTGATTAAATGTTTAGCAGAGTTTTTACTTTAAATCACCATAATGGAACAGAGATATTTTATTTATATTTCAAATAAAACCAAAACATGCACTAAACTTGAAGTCTGTGTAGAATCTGGTGTTGTTCATCTTCCTTTCCAAGTACAAACTAATGAGTCTTATCAGCCTCTTGTAACTATTTAGTCTTTAAGGTGCTACTAGACTGTTGTTTTTTAAGTTTTTCCTGTTACTGACTAACTCAGCTACCCCTCTGAAAGTTATCTACTCACTGTCTCTTTTTTTCTTCCTCCAACTTTTTTCCCTTCTCCTCCCTCCCCCGCCATTTATTCTTGGATCTGGACTTCCAATACTCCTGTCAACTGAAGAAGTAGGTTGTGCCCATAAAAGCTCATGATACCATCTACATATTTTGCTAATCTTTAAGAGTATGTCTACACTACAGCACTAATTCGAATTAACTTCATTCGAATTAGTGAATTCGAACAAAGCTAATTCGAATTAGTGCATCTAGACCTAAAAACTAATTCGAATTAGTGTTTTGCTAATTCAAAATAGCATGTCCACATTGAGTGGACCCTGAACTGAAGTTAAGGCTGGCCGGAACCAGTGCCGGCAGGGCATCAGGTTAGGATTTAGAGTGTGGAGCTGCTGCCTCAGGCTAGCCCAGGGCTGTGCTTAAAGGGACCCTACCCCCACCCTGGACAGACAGTTCTCAGGGTTCCCCGCTTGCTTGTTTAACTCGATGAGGAACAGCAAAGAAGTCCTGTCTTGGATTGCCCTGAGTGCCTGCACTCGGCACATCACAGCACTCGGCCATCAGCCTGGCTGCACTTGCCGCAGGCTGCCATTCGGGGGGGGAGGGGGCGGGTTAAATCGGAGGGCTTTCAGGATTTAGAAGGCCCTGCAGGAGAGATTCCACCCCGAGGAGCTCACAGAGCCACCCCAGTCCTCCCCATCAGGGGCTCGTACCCCATTCCTCCCTCACCTCCTTCCACTTACACCTCCCTAGCCCC